CGTAGTCTGCAGATGCAGTGAAGTCAGATGATGAGAGGGGGAGAAGGAGATGGTGGACTGAGAAGAGGAAGAAGAAGAACTCTCTCTCTCTGTTGAGAAGAGGAAGAAGAAGAACTCTCTCTCTCTGTTACGAGCCAGATACTAACCTGTGATGTTGGCGCTGTGCTGCAGGTACCTCGAAGATGAAGCTGGAGCAACGGCGCTGCAGGTAAGTACCTCTGGCCTCCGCCCAATCTCTCTCTCTCTCTCTAGTGCTATCCTAGCTATGGCGCCCAGCGCTGGAGACTACAGCTACCTACTGCGCCCAGCGCTGAAGACTAAAAGCTAACGCTACTACCACCCTGCAGCACTCCCTCCAGAGTGCTGCTGCCGAATCCTGAAGACTACAACTGCCTCCTGCCTGTAGGGCGGGCCAGTCTTATATAGTGCTGGCTCGTCCAGGAGGCTGCTCTTGCCAATGCCCAAACGTGCTAGACCCTGAGGAAGCTTCCGGGAAGTTCCCAGGTAGCTTCTGGCTGAAGCCTGAGGAAGCTTCCGGAAAGTTCCTAGGTAGCTTCTGCCTAAAGCCTGAGGGCCTATAGGCCCTTGTTTTCAGGCTGTCAGGCTGAAATGCCATGGGGCCTGTAAGCCCTGTATTTCAGGCTTTCGGGCTGAAACAGACAGGGGGCCTGTAAGCCCTGGATTTCAGGCTTTCGGCCTGAAACAGCCACAGGGCCTGTAAGCCCTGGATTTCAGGCTTTCGGGCTGAAACAGACACGGGGCCTGTAAGCCCTGGATTTCAGGCTTTCGGCCTGAAACAGCCACGGGGCTTGTAAGCCCTGGATTTCAGGCTTTCGGCCTGAAGGACGCAGGGCCTGGATAATGGCCCGCGTGTGCAGGCGCAGCATGCAACACACTCTCTCTCTCTCCCCTTCGTCGTTGTCTTCTGTGCAGGTACACGTCACTTCCTTCCACAGCGCAGCTATGGCGGACTTCTTCTTCACGGTGGCGCACTCCAGCTATGGCGCCCTATGGCGCGCGTTCTCTCCTGCTACAACGGCGATGGCGCGTGAGATAGCGGGTACCAGCTCCGATACCAGTGCAATCAGACTCGCATTCATTCACACTTAACACGTATGCAAACAGGTTGCACAGCAAACTGGCGCCAGGCGCCCACTCAAAACTCAGAGATATAGTACCAAGAACGCACTCAGATACAAGTTCACTTCACATGGCTATGGCGGCACATCGCCTGAACAACTCTCTGTTCGTCACTCACTTGACACTGCTGTTCACAGACCGGATCACCCTGGATACCCCACACACCACACACTCTGAACACTCGCGCACGCATACTGCACTTCACTACCAGCTATGGCGGCCATGGCCGCTTCTACTCTATCGCTATGGCTACCCTACTCTCCTTCAGCCCACTTCGACTTTGGGCGCCTCTGCAGACCACCTTGCACAAGTCACTATGGCAGTGCTTCCGCATGGCTTCCGCAGGAATGAATGAATGGCTGGACGCTGCCCTTTGATTTATACTTCTGTAGCTCCCTGGTCTGGCCCTTTTCCCTATCGGCCCATTGTGCACGCAGTCCCGTATGGTACTTGCTGGACTGGACTGGGACTGACTGGACCCTACCGCTGACTCCATGGGGTTGGACCGCAACCTCGCTGCAGTTGCATTTGCCAACGCACTGAGGTTGGCTCCACCACATGCCCACTTGCCTCTACCTACGTGAGCCTACTCTGAAAGGCCACTTCCGAAAGTCTGTAGACTTGGCCTTTCGGTACTGTTGCAGCTACGACCTTGACCTTTCAGGACTGTAGCAGCCACGACCTTGACTCTTCGGACAGGCTACAGCTACGACTTCTAGAACTCACTAGGACTCCTATCCGACAGGTCTACAGATCGAACCCCTACCCCTACACTGACCTACGACGGACAACAACAACTGTCAAAACACAGGTCGCGGGTTCAAACACTCGGGGTCAACACAGATACTGTACACAGGTAAGGTGAAAACTAGGGATCGACCCCTGGGATCTGCACTCGCTACTGCTGACAGGTGAAAACCGTTTCAATAACGCAACTTATTCCGAGAAACATTTCGGATTTATCAAGCAACGAATTCCCAAAAGTAAAAAAACGAAAATCGAAAAATTCAGTTGCTGCCATTGATGGCACTTGCTGCGCTATTTCGGGATTTGCGGTTTTCAACAAAAACGAAATTGCGCCGAAGGAAAGAAATCCGAAAAACACGAAAAAAATTCAATTCGGCAGTTAGGTCAAAAATTTGTGATTTTGGGGACTAATTAGTATGACCTAATCAATCAATCAATCAATCAATCAATCAATCAATCAATTGGTCACTCAATGACCAATCAATCAATCAATCAATCAATCGGTCCCCGGACACATGTCAGATCAGGTTGTCCTGATTCACGTGTGGGCTCGGATACCAACTGATACATGCCCAGTTGAGCGATGTATGCACAGCCAAGGATCCGCAATGTGATGAACAGGACTGAATGGACAATGCAATGTTAGTGAAACATCAACAGGCAATGTACACCCTGAAACATACAAAATGGCACAAAATAGCGCAGCTGCAAGGAAGATGAGCAATAGCTAACTTCAGCAACCAAACAGCATCATACACATGAGACCAGATAGTCGTGACCTCGTACCAAAAGCAGAATTTCATCACGAGTTTCACCAGATAAGAGCACACCAAAAGCTCATAATTGACAATGCTGGAATAGTCTCATCATCATCAATCAAAGAACCAATGTTGATATCCTATCTGGCTCTCGGCGTGCAGACTACGAATGGCAGATCCTATCTAGCCTAGACTACAATGCCGCTGATGACGTCAACAGCTTTCCGAAGTACGAGCAGATCTCGGACAATGCCGCACGCTTCAAGCACCAGGTATGTCTCTCGTATCACTCACAACCTCGTTCCCCAACTCACAGATACCACTTGCACACAAGGACCACCATGCGCCCCATCCAGCATACAGCAGCGTAGCTCGGCTATGTCTGCCTTTTCCTTCCAGCTCGCCCGTGCGCGTGAGCCTGGCAGGCGATAGCGCAGCAGCGCTTGCGCACAAAGCAGTCAGTGCCCGAACATCCAATGCGTGGGCAGGCCCTTCCCTTTATCGAAGTGGCCTGCTGCTGCGTGCTGTGCTGCGGTACTGGGCCCCGGCCCAGAAGCTTCCGGTAGGCCCAGGGAGGCTGAGCTTCAGTCTGAAGGAGACAGGCCCAGGGCCTGTGGCGGTTACCAGCACCCAACTGCCCTCAGCCTTTGTTCGGTCCACTTTGTGTATCCGGCCCAGGGCCTGCCTCAGTTACATGCAATGAAAGGCAGCCTGGGCCTGGGTGCTTCCAACCGACTGGCGCTGCGCAACTACCTGAATTTCCCCAGTTGCGCGGTGACCCTGAAATGGCCTGTAGGGCCACGGTCGTGCCTGCCTTCACTTAGGGCGGCCGACTGTGTGAAAATGAGGCCCTGTAGGGCATATCGAGGCCCTATGCCTCGCACAGCGGAAGGCTTCGAGATAAGTCCTGACCTGACGGGGACTGACGCGACACCCCATCACTCACCACACATGTGAGAGAGGAGGAGGGACCACACACATAGAAGAAAGGTCTCTCCTTTGTATACACGCATGGGGAGACACCACAGATGAGAGATGGGGGGAGGGGAGAGACGAAGATGGAGGYGAGGGAGAAGACCAAGATCGCAATAGCAAAGTCCAAAAATAATCCCTTGCCGATGTCCAATCGATGTCTGCCTCAGAAATGTCGGATCAGATCCTGGGCGCCCTGCCCATGGTAACCTCTGCCTGTAACCTCTCTCACTCTCGTATCTGAAGAAGAAGATGAAGAAGAAGGAGGAGGAAGAGGAAGAAGGAGGAAAGAGGGAGAAGAGATGGAGGGCGAGATGAAGAAGAAGAAGGAAATGTCGTCCTCCTCTCTATCTCACCTGCAGGGAGCTGCTGCCGTGACTGACCGTTGTCGTCGTCGTTGCTGTGTGCAGGTCCGCGCGCAGAGTCCCAACTATGGCGCCAGGTAAGTCTGCCCCTTGCAGGTAAGGCCTCTCTCTCTCTCTCTCTCTCTCTCTCTCTCTCTC